ATTTATTTTACAGTTAAAATAAATGTTTATCAGATAAAGTCTAATGTTACAACTAATCATGGATCCCTTTAAAAAATGCACATGGGGAACAATACACTAGTAAAACAAACAAACTAAACCAAACAAAAGATAATATTCCTATGGCATTTAGGAGATAAAATMACAGTAAATTATTTCTAAAACAGCATGGGGTTTATATGAGGGGTCCCTGGAAAATTTTCACCCTTTATAAGGGGTCCCCAGACTCAAAATGTTGGAGAACCCCAGCACTAGGTGACTATATACAGACAAATATGGCTGTTGAATGTCAATAATAAGGTTTTAAGAGAGCAACATGGCAACATGTGACTCATGTTGTCTGTTGAATGTTCATGGGTTSACTGGGTTATTTTAGTGCTTTAGAATCAGCTTTTGCTAAAACATTCAGTATGTTAGTACTTTAGAATTAGGGGACTCAAATACTTGAGTTAATGCTTTATTTTTAGATTAGTGCTGCCCACCACTGCTGCTTCTCAAAGGTGTTACAGTAAATGTTTAAAATGGCCCCACTAACCCTGGGAGGGCCGAGGATCACTCCTCTCCACCGTGTTAAGGTCATGTCCTCGTCATCCTCCAGACCCCAGCTCACGGTGCCGTCTCCCACACCCTTCTGACCTTCTTCCAGCTCCTCCAGGAGCCGGAAATTGCGGGGAACTTTGACGCCTGTTTGTGGGCAAAACACAAAGGAAAAGAGTCACGTGCATTTCTAACAGGACAGGTGCAATCAGGTGTCACTAGGGTGTCTGTAGACCGGGGCTATGCCTCCTGGTGAGTCATTCAGTCACAGGGGTGAGGCAGCAGAGCAGCAGCTTTGTAACGCGGGTTTTAGCTGGGACGGTGCCGCATCCTCTGCCCCCTGTCTGCAGAGACACTCCAGCCCTCTGCCGGGTGTTTACACCCCCCACCTGACAGCTGGGAGTCTGGAAACTTCCTGTGACTGTTGACGTTAAACAACAAGTGTTGGTGACATTTACAGATGTCTCAAATCCGGTTTGTAACATCCGCCTGCAGCGTCAGTAAACACAGCGATGATGAASCAAATGTTACACAGCAGGACGGCTGTGCTGTGGTTCAAACATCCAGGAACACCAAGTTTAAATTACAGCTCGTACATGGAACCTGTGCGGCTATTACACGGTTAACCAACAGCACCGAAATTATTTCGCAAGTCATCATGCAGCATCTCGTTGTCTCCTTTCTTCTCAACTTAATTTGCGTTAGCTCGCGTCACCGCTTCAGGCTCGTTTTCTACAGCTTTCCGCGAGCTTCTGTTGCTTCACACGGCCAGCAACTGGTCCCACTATCAAACCTAGTCGCCCAGTCGTGAAAATATGTCTGTTTTTCACGTCAAGTTCTCCCGCTGTACGCTTCACTTCCATCACTTACCTGATCCGGCGGCCACCGCCATCTTGTTGCTACGCAGCGGGGGCGCGCATCGTGGCCAGCGGTGCGTGCACGAGGAGGAGGAAGACGACGCCAGTCATCGCTTCCTTTGTTGTCTCCTAAAAAAAGAAAAAAAAAAAAAAAAAAAAAAAACAACCGAGCAACAAAAAAACTGTTAGCAGCTCAGGGCGGAAGTGAAAGTATATCATGAACACAAGTCAAGTTAAAGTGCCTGTTTTATTTGGAAATGAGATCATTTAT